CCCTCTCCCCGAACACATCTGACTTAGTCCCCTTCTCAACATTGAATCATGTTATTCCTCATTTATTTTTACCATATTGTGTATCAAATCATGGATGAATGTGTTTTTGTTGCTACTTTTATTCATTTATTTTATATAGGGATTTTTTTTCCATGAAATGAGCAGGTTTGCACCCATCTGTTTTCTTTTTTATCATCACAATTATGTCCATCTTTCTCTCCTTGATCCTCCTCTCTGACCTCTGACAAAATGGCAAAAAGCTGAGCTTTCTTACTTCACAACTCGTCATTCACCTCCTCTTCCTCCAATCCTGTTCTTTCCCATCACATTCCTGGCCATGACCAAAAGGGGACCCCTGCTGTACAGATACCCTTTTCTTATCAAATAACCTCAATGCTGGTCCTCTAGCGCTACATGAAACTGGACATGTGTACTGAGCAGAGCCTGGATCCAGATCCTACGATCCCCCGATCTCGTTTGGTCATATCTCCTGTGTCCAGACGTGTCTGTGAACTAAAAGGGGATCCAGTGCGTGGATGTACTGTTATTGTTTTCACTCTATGGGAGGGGTGGGGGTTGAGAGGGAGGGAGAGGGAAAGTGGCGTATTAGTTACTGAAGCAGTGCTAGGAGGATGGGTGTATTGTACAATGTAGAGCTGGTCAGTTGTGTACTACGGTGCAAAGATGACAGCAATGAGTTACTATTCTTGTTTTATGATCTGAGTGTATCTGTGAAATGAATAACAGCAATCTACAGTGAAAGCAGGTTCATGTGTATCATTGTGACTTTCATCCAGCAGAAGCAAAGAGGTTTACTGTTTGTGTACAATAGTAGTTCCGCCCATTTCTGCACAGTGTTTAATTCTGGTGTCCTATTTACATCAGTTGATAATGCATAGGAACTGAAATGATTTCCATTCATTATTAACTTTGTTATAAATGTCCTCATACACATATATACACAATATTATTGAGACCTCTAAATACTTAATAGTACCAGATAGGAACAGTACTACATAAAGATATTTAGAGGTAAGTTAGAGAGCAGATGTCCTGCCTTACATAGCCACTGCTCAACTATGTATGTCATCCCTTTTTTTTTTTATTCTTTCTGAAACATGGTAGCTCAGATATGTTAAAGGGTTATTTGGCTGACTAGTATGACTAGTATATATTAAGGATTCAAGTGTTTTAAGTGGAAATGATGCACACATTTTTTCGTGCAATTGATACCCAATGAGCTCAGAGTATGTGAAAACTGCTTTATTACCAACATTGAAAATGTAGGCACATTGGATACAGGAGAAAAAAAATTATCTTGAATGACAGAAATATACAAAGATCAATTCCTGTCCACCAACTTGGACTTGTATAATGAGGCTTTGTTTGAGCACTATACATCCTGAGAGGAGGTTCAGCTGCCTCTGAACTGTGCTGAATCCTGACAGTGGAGGTAAGACGGACTGATGTGCCTGTTATATTGTCCTCAATCTTGTCAGGTACTCACACTGATACTCAATTTACTCACTTCATTTATGCAGTGTACAACAGTTGCAAATGGTAATATAGGTTTAAGAGTTTACCTTACTGTAGTCATAACAAGCATCAAAAGGAAAAACAAAACGGACCACTGAAGTTTCTAACTGAAAAAAGTGTCAGACTTTTCTTCAGTGGCCATGCTGAAGCCTTCACAAAGTAAACTTCCAAGTTAAAAAAAAAAAAAAAATGGACGTCAGTGTTTGGCGGATGTGTATAAATATACACAAAATATGATTCTGAAAAAACATACTGTTTGAACCATAAGGGACTCCTTTCTTTACCCTTCTGCATGTGGAGTTGAAGAGGTTAAGAGGTCAAATCTGGTTAGGGGGGAGCTGGGAGAACCAGGTGGTATGCACCACAATAACACAAATCTTGTTGGATTTGACTTCAAGGTCTTTTAAACCATTTTTCCTTCACTACATCTCAGAGGAGAATCATATACTTCTACTGCTACATTAGCGTCAGTTTCTTTAAATTGATCAATTATAGGCAAATTAAATGAAATAATAAACAACACAATTAAAGCCTCTATATAATATTTACATAAATATATAAAATAAACAAATGTAATATTTTTCAAATTTAATGTTTATGTGAAAAATAAAAGTAAGGTATTATGTATTTAAAAACTATTAAAATAATCTATTAAAAGATTAAAATGAAAGGATTTAGTTTTTAAAAATAAATGCACTAAATCTAATAGAGAAGAGCTGGGTTGGCGTATTAGATAGCTACTGTTTAATGAAAAAAATAAAAGAGGGGAAAAACTGTAAACGTTAATCTGTGTTGAGTCTGGAACTCTGCTTGTAGTTCCTACAGTTGTCCACCAGAGGGCGCCATTACACCAGAAACCAGCAGCTGACCGGTAACACTCACTCAGTGAACTATTAAATTTTTTTTATGAATTATTGAACCATTCTCCATTTACCAAATCGCATAGAGGAATATTAAATTTTTAAATAAATGAATGAAATAAAAGCGAGGAGAAGAATTTAAAACAACACAATCATGGCCTATGTAAGTATTTACATAGGCTAGATATATCAAATAAACAAAATAATATAATGTTTTTATATTTACTAACCATTCAACGGCTTGTGTATGGTTTATCAGATGACTATGGTATGTAACAGCTGCTGCTATTACATTATTATCTTTAATATATTTCTGTACATACTTTTTTAGGCTATAATTGTATTGTTTATTAATTATTATCCGCACTTTTATTTCAGTTACTGTGCCTATAATCGATACATTTAAAAAATATTAACTAATACTAATGGTAAAAGTATAATATTCCTCTCTGAGATGTGGTGAGGGAAAAATTATTTAGTAATCAATAAAATAAAACGTCAGTGAGTTTCATCTGTCAGCTGCTGGTTTCTGGTGGACAACTGCGGAACTACAAGCAGAGCTGCAGACACAACACAAATTAAAACATGTTTATATGTTTTTGCCATAATTTTATTATTCATCTTATATGTGTTTATCTGATATACCAGCCCAAACCTTTCTGATGTTATTCTAATACATTTTTGTCAACACTGACCTCTGCAACATCTTGATGCTCAGAAACAGTGAGGAGGGTGGAGAAGATGGGGGACCTAACTTACAGCTACGGAGTTTTGGAGCAGTAGAGAAAAGGAAAACTACAGTGATCGACCCTACCAAGTCCAGGAGAAAAATCGATTGCCAAGTCAGAGAGAGAAAGCAGCTGAAGAAGCAATGGAGGAAGGCCAGAGAGGAGGAGAATGAGGTCATATACCTGTTGCAATCAGCCATCTGTGATAGCTTTGTGACACTGAGGAGGGCTGAGAACCTAAAAAAAAAACACAGGGAGATAGAATGGACAAGAGCAAGCTTCTACAAAGATCCCTTTTTGAAGGGTTTCTTCACAAAGGAGAAGAGGGAGAGTCAAAGGCGAACTTGAAAAGCATCTGGAGATGTCCTGCACTGACAACCAATCCCAGGAAGACATCACCCTCCCACCTGGAATTCCACCAGTCCTGCCACCAGAACAACAACTGGACATCAGTCTGCTTTGATGGAGTAAGAGTGTGCCTCATCAGCTCCAGAGCCCAACAGAATCTCATACAGGCTCTACAAAAATGCACCACATGTCCTGTGTTTCCTCTGGTGGCTCATGATGATGGAATGGCATAAGCAGGAGATACCAACATCATGGCAGAGAGCAGGAACTATCCTTATCTCAAAGTAAAAGAACTCACCAGAAATTGGCCGTTTCCACCAGATCAGCCTCCTACATGTCAAGGGAAAAATCTTCTTAAGTGTGGTTGCTCAAAGGCTGTCAGGATACCTGGAAAGAAACCATCTGATCGACACATCAGTCCAAAAAGCAGGGAACCCCAGCTTCTCTGGCCGTCTGGAACATACTAGTACCATCTGGCATCAGATGCAGGAGGCCAAGAAGGAGGGCTCAGACCTTGGTGTGTTCTCCTCTGGATCTCGCCAACGCCTTTGGCACAATCCCTCACAACCTCCTCTCCATATTGCCCAGCCCTAGGTATGTGCATTTCAATCCGTCCTGTATGTGTTGGGATATTTCAGATATTTCACATATACTTGCATACAAGCATTAACAGAAAGGAGATAATGGAGCTCTGCAGTCCAGTTTGGAGACACGGCAGACAGAAGGTCAAGAAGAAACACTGCTGAAAATGTGTCTGTTTTATAAACTTACTGTCGTCATTTCTTTGTGTCTTTGAATCTAATAAATAATATATTATATTACATTTGTATTTACATAATTTGGTAGCATTTTGACTCTTTCTCTTGTAATTAAATACCACTTAAAGTTTTGTTTTCAGCATTTTTCACAATGTCTTATGTAATATTTGACATTTTGTCATCTACCATCTAAAGTTTTTTTGTCTCCTCCCTCCTCTTTATCCCATCAAATCATTATGTCCTTCAACTCCTCATCCTCTTCTAATGCTTCGCTTCTTCCTCCTTACATCTTCTCTAATTCCCCCCTCTGTCCTGACTCAGCCATTTGCTTCAAATACAGATCTATAGAAATACATGTTTAGTCAATATTAAACAAATAAATAATTATTTATTTCAGGGAACTTCTATTTCATCATGCCATTTTATTTATTTTATGGGACTTTTATTTCATCATGCCACATGGATTTATTTCAGGGAAGTGTTAGCAGCACCAGAGCTATTTATTAGTACAGTAAGCTAAGGTATATTCTCTGATCTGGTGGTGAGTTTAAATAAATTAGCTGCATAAATGATTAACTGACGTTATCCGCTAGGATGGCGAAGGCAACCCTGAGCAAACTCCCTCCTCTTGCCTAAACCTAACCAATCAAACCAACGAAGGCAAAGACACTAGCCAATCAGAGGGAGAGTAGGGCGGGTCATGCGCTCGCCATCCTAGGAAAGACAAATTTGCGTACTATTCAGATGGTTCATGAAGCAATTTTCCCCCACAGCCCCTGAATGCAGCGTTAGCAGTTTGGTTCGGATGGTAGTAGCATCACATCAGGACATGAATGGGTGTGTTTTGGGCCTCCTCAAAGATTTACCCACCGGGGAACTAATGCGTAATATTTTGGTAACATTTTGATTATTTGGCTGCTATCAACCTCGAATAAAACCAATTAAACCAGTTTTCCTCAAGGCTTCAAAGCTAATGTAGCTTAGCATCATCCCCTCGACTGTAACGTTATGCTAGCCTATGGAGATTAGCTGGTTAGCCGCTAGAAGCTTGAGTTAATGCTGGGATAGTTGACCTACATGGGTAGGAAAGTCAGATATTCCAGTTACCAAGAAGTTACACTACGTGTGAGATAGTTTGTTTCGATAAATCATCTCAAAATGGACCTTAATTTTTACTCTGACCTGTCGGACGGCTGTGCTCAAAATGTTGACCCGGAGTTTTTGGACACTCAAGCCTATGGTGGATACTCTGAGGAAAATAAGGTAACTTAACTCATTATTCCCAGTATTTCAGTGGAGAGGTTGGCTTTGACTAATGGCAATGCCTAAGTTTCACATTAGTCAGTTAGATGCTAAGGGTCTGTTTCAGTTTCCAGAAGGCGGTGACAGTTATCTCACCATTAGTGGAGCAGGCCACCCTTTTTTGTCCGCGGAGGTGAGTTAATACATCATGGCAGTGCAGTGTACTATGTCTTCACTGTACTGATCTTTACACGTGCTCTAGTTCATGAGGACTGACCCATTTCTCTGTCTCTTTCTCCACATACAGCAGACATTCCATACTCCCAGTCTTGGGGATGAGGTTTTTGAGATCCCCCCTATCTCCCTTGATCCAGACCCGACTCTGAGCATCAGTGATGAAGTGTCCCATTTTGAGTTGACGGATGGATCAGAGGGCACCGGGGGACCTTCAGGTTCCCGCAGCCTTGTTAGCAACCTGGTGGTGGAGGCCAATGACCCTTCCTTTGCTTCAACGTTTGTAAACTCGGGGTCTCAGGGACTGGAGCAGCTGAACCTTGGGGCAATGAGCCAGGCTGGAGGGGGAGCCCTGCTGAGCTCTTCTGCTCTGGTGAGTGCTTTAACTGTACACTTTCACACAGACAGGATGCTGTTAGAGGTGTTTAGATGTTGCTTGTTTGCTAATATTTGTGTTAAAATCCCTGCAGGAGCTGGGGAATTCCAGTGGTTCACATTTCAGCAGTTCGTCCCCCATGACCATCGATGTCCAACTAGGTGACATCAGTCATGGTCTTTTGGGAAGCAACCAACTGAGCACTATTAACCCATCTGAGCTGGCACTGGGTCTTGGGGGGGATAACATTGGGCATCATTCAGAGACACCTGAGCAGCCACTGTCAGCAACACCATCACCAGCAGGCTCCTTGCAGGATGAGGACATGGATGACTTCAAGGTGAGGGGTTAAACCTGTAAAAGCTTACATTGTTGTTAGCTTGCATGCTTTCTGGAAGTTTTGTATAAATGTATTTTGGATTCCACGCCATGTTTTAGCTTCTGCAGCTAACATGTCCTTTCTTCTCTTTTACACTTTTCCTCTCCCTGCTCAGAGGAGTGTGCTGGTAGACTCCCCGATGTGTCTCTCCTCCTCCGCCCTCTCCCACATGTCCTCCCATCCAGCTCCTACATCTTTATCTCCAGCTACGGCCAAAAGGGGTGGAGGGAAGCCAGCCACATTGGCCTCAGTGACTGGGGCGCTGGGTACTAAAAAAGGAAGGAAGAAGAAAGACCCAAATGAACCACAGAAGCCCGTTTCAGCGTACGCCCTGTTCTTCAGAGACACCCAGGCAGCCATTAAGGGCCAGAACCCCAATGCTTCTTTTGGGGAGGTGTCAAAGATTGTCGCCTCCATGTGGGACAGCCTGGCTGAGGAACAGAAACAGGTAGAAGAACACACTATATTGATGCCCTTTGTCAGTTTTGCAGTTTGAAAAGTGATTGTTGGTGGTAACGTACAGTCAAATGATACGTATTTACAAAAGTGGTACTTGTCTTGTCTCCATTAGGTTTATAAGAGAAAAACAGAAGCAGCCAAAAAGGAGTATTTGAAAGCACTGGCAGCATATAAAGCCAACCAGCTCACACAGGTAAGATCATGTTGTTATCCAAAGGAAAACCAGTTGATTGTTGTATTTATGGTCTGTCTAATTTTTTTTAATCTTTCCTCATCATAGTCTGCCACTGAGGAGATGGAGACTGCCCCCTCACCACCTTCACCGGTAGTCAATCTGACACCTGCAGCCCTTCCCTTGGCTGGTCACCAGGCCATCCGCTCGGTTAACAACAACCTGGAAGAGAACACCATCACCAACATTTGTGCCTCCAACATCATCCTGGACGTCCCAGAGATGACCACACGTTCCCGCACGGGAGCAAACAAAGCCTTGGCTCCAGCAACCGCAGCACCCCCGGCCCAGACCATCACCAAGATCATAATTCCAAAGCACATGTTGCAGGCAGGGGGCCAGGTGGTGACCGTGTTGCCCGGAGGGGTCCATGCTCTGCAGCCCACCCTGGTAGTGTCTGGTGCCTCTCGTCAGCCACCACCGCTGCAGCAGATGCAGAACGCACCACCTCCGCCACGGCTCCAGCAAATGGCACCAGCACCTCCACCCTTACAGGCCAAGCCCCGCGAGGGGAGCAACACGCCGGGTGTCCCTGTGTCCGTCACGGCTACACCTCCGCCTCCACTCCAGATAAAAATAGTTCCTGCATCTTTGCAGGGCAAAGAGTCCCTGCCAATTATCGTCCCTAATACAGTGGCTGTGTCATCTTCTGCGACTACATCTGCCCAGTCTGCACCTGTTGTGTCAGTGCAGGTGGTGAATTCTACAGACACATCCGGCAATACAGATGAGGATGTAGTTACAGAAGTGCTGCACTCAGAAGAGGTAAAGGCCCTTAATTCATTGCTATTTTTTGTATTGGGTTTATTTTGTGTGAGGCAGGGACCTTTTTTATTCTCAAATAACATTTGATTTGATTGTTAAAAATTTCAAGATATTTCAGATCTCTGAAGCTTGTTTATAATTTATCCTCAGAGAGCGCCAAGCTGTTGTCATAGAAACCCTTTCCTAATTTTCAGAAGTGCACAGTATTATTCAAATTTAACTCGATCACAGTTGTAACTGCCAAATCTTTGCCATTTTCTGCCTCACAAGTCAGAGGATGTGAAATACTATCCCTCCTACTCACTGATACAAGAGTGCAGATAAATCTTGTTTGTCTACAGCATTGAATAAGAGAGCCTGTTTACACCCAGTATTAACATGTGTCTGTGATTGGAACACAAGTTAACAGCTGAGACACATCGCCGTTCACACCTGGGTCTATCATGTGGTTGACCACTTGTGTTCCCATTTCGTTGCTGCCGTTGTGTCAGCAGCAGAATTCAACTTGTCTCCCCCCATAAGGCAACACGATGATCACCCAACACTTTATTCAACTCATTGCAAAGTGGCCAAGTTATAGAATGTTAGCGCACTGTCACCAAAACAACCACCACGTCCTGCACTGGTGACATACAGTACAGGCCAAAAGTTTGGACACACCTTCTCATTCAATGCGTTTTCTTTATTTTCATGACTATTTACATTGTAGATTCTCACTGAAGGCATCAAAACTATGAATGAACACATGTGGAGTTATGTACTTAAGAAAAAAAGGTGAAATAACTGAAAACATGTTTTATATTCTAGTTTCTTCAAAATAGCCACCCTTTGCTCTGATTACTGCTTTGCACACTCTTGGCATTCTCTCCATGAGCTTCAAGAGGTAGTCACCTGAAATGGTTTTCCAACAGTCTTGAAGGAGTTCCCAGAGGTGTTTAGCACTTGTTGACCCCTTTGCCTTCACTCTGCGGTCCAGCTCACCCCAAACCATCTCAATTGGGTTCAGGTCCGGTGACTGTGGAGGCCAGGTCATCTGCCGCAGCACTCCATCACTCTCCTTCTTGGTCAAATAGACCTTACACAGCCTGGAGGTGTGTTTGGGGTCATTGTCCTGTTGAAAAATAAATGATCGTCCAACTAAACGCAAATGGGATGGGATGGCATGTCGCTGCAGGATGCTGTGGTAGCCATGCTGGTTCAGTGTGACTTCAATTTTGAATAAATCCCCAACAGTGTCACCAGCAAAACACCCCCACACCATCACACCTCCTCCTCCATGCTTCACAGTGGGAACCAGGCATGTGGAATCCATCCGTTCACCTTTTCTGCGTCTCACAAAGACACGGCGGTTGGAACCAAAGATCTCAAATTTGGACTCATCAGACCAAAGCACAGATTTCCACTGATCTAATGTCCATTCCTTGTGTTTCTTGGCCCAAACAAATCTCTTCTGCTTGTTGCCTCTCCTTAGCAGTGGTTTCCTAGCAGCTATTTGACCATGAAGGCCTGATTCGCGCAGTCTCCTCTTAACAGTTGTTCTAGAGATGGGTCTGCTGCTAGAACTCTGTGTGGCATTCATCTGGTCTCTGATCTGAGCTGCTGTTAACTTGCCATTTCTGAGGCTGGTGACTCGGATGAACTTATCCTCAGAAGCAGAGGTGACTCTTGGTCTTCCTTTCCTGGGTCAGTCTTCATGTGTGCCAGTTTGGTTGTAGCGCTTGATAGTTTTTGCGACTCCACTTGGGGACACATTTAAAGTTTTTGCAATTTTCCGGACTGACTGACCTTCATTTCTTAAAGTAATGATGGCCACTCGTTTTTCTTTAGTTAGCTGATTGGTTCTTGCCATAATATGAATTTCTAACAGTTGTCCAATAGGGCTGTCGGCTGTGTATTAACCTGACTTCTGCACAACACAACTGATGGTCCCAACCCCATTGATAAAGCAAGAAATTCCACTAATTAACCCTGATAAGGCACACCTGTGAAGTGGAAACCATTTCAGGTGACTACCTCTTGAAGCTCATGGAGAGAATGCCAAGAGTGTGCAAAGCAGTAATCAGAGCAAAGGGTGGCTATTTTGAAGAAACTAGAATATAAAACATGTTTTCAGTTATTTCACCTTTTTTGTTAAGTACATAACTCCACATGTGTTCATTCATAGTTTTGATGCCTTCAGTGAGAATCTACAATGTAAATAGTCATGAAAATAAAGAAAACGCATTGAATGAGAAGGTGTGTCCAAACTTTTGGCCTGTACTGTATGTTCCTGTTATGTGTTTGTCGGGGACGCATCAGTGTTTACACTACAAAAGATATGTAGTCAAATTCGTCCCAGACCACCTTGTGGTTTGAGCGATCAGATCACAATACATCTTGGTGGTCATCTACACTTGTATTTAGCGCTGTCCACTTGTGATTGGATCACCCAAGGTGCATGTTAATACTAGATATAAACAGGCTTAGAGTGGATGTAATTTAGACTTTTTGTCACTTATTTAGAATAAAAACGAATCCACAAATGGATCTAAATGAGTTACAAATACAAATCAAAAAAGTTTCATAAGTTGGATGGAAAACTGTAATGTCCAACATGTGGTTTAGTCATTTTCACCCAGAAACAATACCATAAAGACTTAGGAACAATCTTAACAAATCTGTGAAAAGTACCAATCCAAAGGCTGCAGGAAGAAATTCCAAGGCCCTGCATATTATCAGAGTAGAGTCAGGTCATTAGAACTTCGATAGAATATGGCACAGGCTGTGTGAGAGGAGCTGGACCTCTAAGAGGCTTACAACTGCAGCCTTGAGGTAGCTACATGTTTCCATGGCTGAGAAGACAGAAGCTGTGCCTAAGTATTTTACGAGTTTTAGAGTGGCAGAGTGGCAAAGAGAAAGCCACAGTTTAAAACATGACATCAGGTGGTAATGAAGATCGCTGTTCACTCACCCAGCAACCCATGCAAATTGAGACAGCTGGAGGAGTTTCACAGACGATTGTGCAAAAATGCACTTTCCAGATGTACTTAGGCAATATAGGCCCAAAGCTGTAACTGCTGTCAAATGTGCCTCAACTGAACACTGACTTGAAGAGGATGGTCACTTATGCAATCAGTTATTTTGTATTTTCTATCTGTCTGTCAGATCTTATTATCTTGGTTAGTGCAAACAAAATCTCTTTTCTGTTCACTATGATTTAAAGTTTAAACACAGTAGCACATTCAAAAAAAGATGAATATTTATAAAGTCGTCGTATTTATTCTCACTTTTGCTTTCAGTGTCGTAGGGCTTTGTGGAAAAAATGACACTGGTGTAACAATATCACCCATTATGACAAGCCCAGATCAGTGTACAGGAAATACTGGGTACCCATATTAATAACATTCTCCAAATATGCCCTACTTTTTCAGGAGGAGATGGAGGTGAATGGGTCCAGTGACGCCACAACTATGAGAAGTGTGTGTGTGAGGACAGGCTGTAACAACCCAGCCGTAGAGAGTGACGACTGGGACAAAGAATACTGCAGCAACGAATGTGTGGCCACTCACTGCAGGTGTGTAGAGGCTTGAAACATGCACTTGTTTAAATTTATGGTTCCAGCAGATGTAACTTTTCACTTTGCTGAACTTAATATTCTCTTGTTTTTCAGAGATGTTTTCAAGGCGTGGTGCTCGATCAGGAATCAGACCATGGGAGTGGTGAAATAAAGAGCAGCTGCTACAGATCACATGGGGATCACATCTCAGTGGGACAAATGCAGCACTGGTGCCGCACTGAAATGTCTAAAGTGCATTTCACCGCAGTTCTTAAACTGTTGTGTGCATGTACTGTAGGTGTGACAGTTGCTGTTGAGGACAATAAACGTGTAGTATTGCAAAATGAGGACAGCAGATCCATGTTAGTGTTTTTGCCACAGAGACTATTCTAATAAAGGTAGGATAATAGTGTAGTGTTATGTTTGACGTTGTATACAGCTTTTAGTCAGGCATCAAGGGAATTCAAGGCAGCTAGAGGAAAGATCAGTACGATGAAGTATAACAGTCGATCAAGATAATGGTATTCTTTTAGATTTGTTTCTACTAAAGCCCACACAGGTCAGTTTATACTTGTTTACTGTAAACTGTTGGAAACGCTCCAACAAAGAACATTTCAGCCTTCTTACAGCAGTTTGAGACATGATTGCACGCTGCTCATGGATTTGAACTTTGTGCCATGAAGTGTTTGTGTTTCATGTCTCAAAGCTAATGAAACATTTCCAATTCTTTTACTACAAACTAAGGCTAAAATATACCTCAGTTTGAGTGGACCAGCAGTTTGTATCACTGTATACCTTGTTATTGTACGGAAAATAGTGGCCTTTCTAGGTTTGATATTGCCTTCATGTTTTTGTATCACATTCTGTTGAGTTCATTGTTGTTAAAAAAGGCTTGACTCATGTTTTCTTAATAAATGAGCAACTTTGCTACAGCTAGTGTTTTCTCTTTTGAATATGCAACTAAAAGATGCCTTTGCTCAGTTAAACACACCGCTACAGCCTGACTTGCTTATGGTGACTCATGATAGCAACCTTTAGATGGATATAATAATATTTCCATAGACATTATGGAAAACAGTCACAAATATAGAAAGAAAACCTTAAAAAAGCAAAACACAAGCACACAGTTTGCTGTGTAACTCGAGTTAATGAGTCAGTTTGCTGACTTTCAGACTCCCTCTCCACTGTTAATATAAAAATTAAATTTTGGCATTTTCTATTATTCTGTACTATCTGGCACTTGTGACCAGAGTGGTAATTCAGCAAACGTTACATAAATTCAGATTTGTTTTCAGTTCCTCCTCTACCACTTAGACGAGGAGACAGAGGCTGGGATGCTATTAACTCTACACTAAGGTCAACCATTAAACACAGACTCAAGAAGCTGAGTGTCCTCTCCACAATAGAGAATGACTCCTGTGTGTAGAAGACACAATGGTAGTCAGTGTAGTCTTAACGTTGCTTTCAGCTGATACAGCAGCAACATTAATATCTTTGTTGAATTTAATTATATTACAAGGATATAGATTTCTGTTTTTGAAATATGAGCTGAAGGTTGAAGAGGTCATTTCAGTGCGCAAGTTGTATGACTGATTTTTGTCTATTTAAAAGCCATCGATATTAATACAATGTAATAAAACCTTTTTGTCTTACAGTATATCATAGCTAGTCACATTTGTACTGAAATCAAGATCCACACTGAAAGGAAACATCTTTTAATCACATATGATTTAAGTACCTTCATACAACTTGAAATACAAAAACATATTCCTGAGGCAAAGGTTTCATTTTCTGGCAGTGACATATTCAGGTCTTTCCTTTCAGACCCCTCCACTTTTTAGTGCAAGTCAAGTTAGTTCTCCATGATTACCAGCTACATATAAGGCAGTCTGGATGCTGTGTTAGCTGATTATTGTGACAGTTTGTAGGATTTTCAAGTAGCTTTGACAATAGAGGCTCTGCTAGGTGGATCCTCACGGTGAAGCCCCAATCCCAGGCACACCGGCTGAGCCAGCTCAGCCTTGAACTCATGTAGCTGTGTGACTGTGGGCTCCACAGCACTAAACGTGATGTTGCCCTTCTCAAAATTAACCATCACTACTATTCGACTGCTTTGCAAGGGTCCAGGGAGAACGGTTTTTATTTTATTATGATGAGCAAACAGCTCGCCTTTGCCATTGTGTGTAAGGCTCCAGGACTCTGCATTATTTCCGAAGGTGCTGCTGTCCTTGCTTTTGCGTTGGATGTTCTTGTAGGACACAGCGATATCCCAGTGTCCCTCAGCCTCCACCTCCCAGACGTGGGTACCAGTGGAGAAGCACCGCGTGGAGAGGACATGCGGAGCTTCATCAAAGCGGCTGTCACTGTCGGAATAGACCACCTGAATTTTCATTCTCTCAACTGTTTGGAGGTCGGCTGAGACTCCAAGGAAAGGACTGACTGTGTCCAGATCCCACATGAGGATTCCTAAGAGACAGACAGACAGTCTGGGTTTAAATACACAATTTTGATGGTGACCTTATTTACAATACAGGCACATGGAAATTACAGTGGTCATTATCAAGACTATTACTTTTTTGGAATTTAAGGAATTCGGTAACTCCTGTGCTGTCTCTGCACTGCGCTTCCCTGAAATCCCATGTGTTATTTTATGTCTTTGTGCTTAACTTTTGGGTTGATCTGAATTGTTTTACTGGTCAGATTAAACTCACAATGCTCAGTATTTGTAAGGGCTGCAATTAACAGCTATTCTATCAATTAATCTGCCCATTTTTTTCTTGATTAATCAATTAATGATTTTGTAATCGGAATGTCGGAAAATAGTGAAACATGCCCTGTGACATTTCCCAGAGCCCAAGGTGATGTCTTCAAATGGTATGTTTTATCAGACTAACAGTCCAAAAATCAAAAGCTATTAAGTTTATAATCTTGTATGACAAAGAAAACATTAAATTCTCACATTCAAGAAGCACGAAACCAGCAAATGTTTGGCCTTTTTGCTTAAAAATTATTAGCAAAACAGTTGCAGTTGTTTCACTACAGTAAATTTTTGGCACAGTGCTTTTATTTTGAAGTGCTGTTTCCTGCTGTAGAGTGAGTTACTACTTGAAAACAGCAAACTAGCTCAACAACATGGCCACACACAAGTGTGATGCTGAATATATTAAAATGTGTGGACCTTGAACGAATGACAAAGACGCAATCTGGACCCTGTGGCTGGACCAGTTGGGAACCACCGCTGTAACACAAACACACAGTGGTTTTCCCTTTCCCTTGCCTTTAACTAACATTTCCATTCTAATGTTTCAACAGATCAGCTCTTTGTACCTTGATCATCTGTCTCTGGAGGTTTGTGGCTCTTCATTGGATGACCGACTAAAAGTTCTATGAATAAAGAAAAAGACAAGAGAAGGAAAAGAAAGTATAATACGAGTTGGCTGAGTTCCTAAGGAGGTTCCAGTGTAAGTGGAGCATCAGATCAGACAACAATTGACTTCAGCTTATGTCCCTGAGAAAGTGTCATTGGTGTATTTGTATATCTGTGATTTACACATTTTGGCTCAGCACTGAGATGGAGAATTTCCCCAGCATGTACTAACATTAGGCCACTTGGGGAATAGTCTGACATTTCTGTCATCTGTCTTCTCAAGAGTAAGATGAGAGTGATGATCCCACTCTTACACTGTGTACAATACTGTAAATATGAAGGTACAGCCATCTTGTTAGCTCAACCAGCAAAGACTGCAGGAAGGAACTCATTGTTTCTGACCAAGAGACAGTCTTACTTATAACCCCCCATGAAAATACAACTTTTTGTTTCAAAACTTAAGTTGTAATTCAGATTAAACAAAATGTGTATTGATCAGTGAGCTTTGAAGGTGCTGGTAGGTTGATTTTGTTACCTTCAGACAAAACTAGGCTAGCCGTTTCCCGCTGCTCCCACTCTTCATGCTAACCTAAGCTAACCACCTGCCAGTAGACATGAAAGAGATATTACTCCTTTAAACTAACAAGCAAATAGGTTTACTTCCCAAAATCAACCTAACTCCATACACACCCACTACCAAACGTCAGACTGCATGTATTAATATGGAAGTTGAGATGTGCTGAGCAAAGCAGGCAGAGACTGTGAGACAAAATGTTATCATGGCTTCTCATTAAATCTAGTTACTAAATTCCATATTTTTGCAGTTTTCATGTAAGCTTGCAGGAATGTGGATGTAAAGCCTGCCTTCTTACCTGCAATGGTGGAATAAATGTGATGCACGCGGTTCTGCTGCTTGTCCAGTGCTTCTGTCAGCATCTGGTTTTCCACAGAGTAGTTGTAGGCTAGTTGGAAACAAACACGGACATCAGTGAGCGCATGTTCACATTAAGGAGACAAACATGATACTCGGGCTTGCCATTCTCTTACCATAATACAGAACAATGAACCACAGACAGAGCAGCACCACTGTGACACTGTTGAGGGTCGAGTCGGCAGGGTTCACTTTCTGTTTCTGTCGGGAGGAAAATCCATATTAAATCAGAAAGTTTTGAAAACAAACTATAACCCCTTTAACATAACATTTACAGAAGATGTAGTTAACACAGCTTACTTCACGTTGGATGACTTCTTGCAGTTTTTTTACTGATTGATTGGATTCTCCAATTTGCTTGCTGAGCATGTTGAAGCGTTGGTCCATGTACTCCTGTTGAAAGCCAATACACACAGTTCTGTTTTAAACCTCTTAACATCCAGTTGTCCTTTTATTTTCCCTCAAGCTTTAAGTTGAAAAATAAAATCTTATCCACACTGCCTGACTATATCATGTATACTCTGCATCAGCCCTTTCCATCTTTTCATGTACCATAAGCTATATGTTTTCAATGAGTGAAATATGTGAACCCTATATATTTGGTATCTTTGGAAACTCTGCGCTCCCCACTACAATTTAAAATACAGTTCTATAGGATGCACAAAGTTTTCCTGTACAGCACAGTATGTAACGACTCATCCGTGGGGTTTAAGTGATCAAGGGTTGAATGAATGAGGTGGAGTGTGTAGGTGAAAGTTAGACTTTTGGAATCTAAAGGACCAGTAAATCCTGTTTTTCTTCACCACATGCAGCAACATGAGTTTCCTACCTCAGTGTTGTTAATACCACCTTGTTTATAACAAACTGTTGCTACTACTAATTTCCTTTGTAAATCCAACCTGGAGTTTTATTATTAAAATACAGATGATACGATTTTCTTTGTTTTATAGCGTAAAAGTGTTATTTAAAACTCACAGTCAGCTGTCTCCGCAGGACAGTAGAGGCCTCAGTGGCCAGGGTGTGCTGCTTGCTCTCAAGGGAACACACGTTGCAGATGTAGCGCCTGGATGTGTTGCAGTAGTACCTCAGCACCTCGTCCTCATGCTGTGGGCATTTCCTCTCTTGGAGGTCACCCAGAGGTCTGACCAAAGGGTGTCCTGTGAACACCGGCAGCTCCAGGTGGTCGTTGACATGCTCTTGGCACATGGACACTTCACACTTTAGACACATTTTGATGGCCAGAGTTTTCTTCTCCAAGCAGTAGTCGCAGTACACACTTTTTGACTGCTCTTCCTGCTTACAAAAATCAGATATTGACATGTGGGAAAAGGTGTGTTAGACATTTGTCCACTTTGAAGATTAGTTTTAACATTCCACAACGTTTAACTTATTCTCTACATGTTCGAAGTGTCATGATTAAAGAGACTGTAGGTAAAAAAAAAAGATAAAAGCAGATACCCTCCTCTTCCTGCTCGCCCTGAAGTCCTCTACGATGTTGGCAAGCGCATAGTTCTTTTGTAACCCGACAACTGTACCAAAATGTGCCCTACAGTCTGGACAGCGGAAGGGAACATCCAAGGAGTGATCCATTATGTTTTCCAGACAGCTCATACACATGCTGTGTCCACAGGGCAGCTGCCGGGGATCCTTAAAGACATCCTGGCACACTGGGCACATCAGCATCTCCTCAAGCTTTGATTTCTCTGTATCTTCCATTCTTGGTTTCTCTTCTTTGATGACTGCCATTGAGCATGAAAAGAGCAGTCAGGAAGGAGTTAACTGCAGAGAACCCATGAGCTGTAGCACAAGATCATGAGAGGTAATCTGTAAAATGATTCTTACCTTTAAGTTAAAGCTGATAAACACCCTCAGTACTGTGCGTCTTCTATCTTCCGTAAACACATTGCTAAAAGTGAAACTGCTGAGTTTGTTTTTGCATTTCCTGGTGAGGCGGGGCCTAAGAGAAGGAGGCTCAGAGTAACTGGGCCTCTAAATATGATATATCAATGTAAAACTTAAATACAGGACTACATAATCAGAGTACAATTATTGGATGAAACAGACATAAAACAATAATTGTGAGAAATATTTTTTAATTCATTTAAAGAGTATAAACAGATGTTTTTGTTGATTAGACTTTGGTTGTTGCTAGATGGGGATTTTGTTGACGTCACTGACCTTTGTACAGTCTTTCCTGGGACCTGATAATTATTAACATTAATAATGGCTATGGTCAATAAAAGCGTTCTAAGTTCAGTTCTGCTGTTTTTGCATGCCGAGTGTCATGGCTAAATTAAATGGCACAAAGCTATCATTAATGTTATTGGCTACACCTGCGGGTTTCTTCAGTCCAGTTAGAGAAACAGAGAACACCTGTGTGGGTGCACCACGACTGTCTGTGTGGTGATGTAATGCAACCAACAGACTTCTAGCGAATTGTTTATATATCTTAAATAAAACCAGCTATTAATATTTTTCTTTTAAGCCCAACTAAAGACCCTGGCGACATTTTAAACCTTTGCCGAGTGATAACATTTACGTCAGAAGTCGCACCTCCATCTCAAGCCGTGACTTTGCCCAAATAACGTTTACTTACCTAAGTTATTCTTTCCGTCTCTCCCATATCCAGCACATTACTCAGCTACACGTTTACCATCAGTTATATCTGTCAACTTTAGCTTTGTATGAAGTCACGGTTGTTAATTTGTCCACTCACTGTCTGTAATTTACAACCACAGTGCAAACAAAACAAAAGTGCTAGCTAACTTAGCATGACTTCGTGGTGTAAATTAACTAAAATGTAAATATTAAATAAAAACGCGCTGGTATGGCCATGAATATATTATACACTGTTATATACTGTATCAATCATACTATTTAATCATTTTTCATATAACGCAAAGCTCTCGACTGACATCTTGCTCCCAACTCCATGGTAAAATTATACTTCCTGTTTATATCACCCAAGGCATGATGGGAAACCTGGTTTCAAAGACTTGAAATTTACTTTTGTATTTCTATTTTATGCTACTTTATACTTTTACTCTGCTACATTTTTTGACAGCTTGTTACTAGTTACTTTGCAGATTTAGAAATATTAATACAAAGGATAATTCAACTAAAATATTATATTACAGATTAAACTACCTGGCAGAATGTAGGCAGTCAAAATTAGCCCTACCTTTACCAGCTACAAAATGGGCCATTCTGCCTACAACTACTTTACTTTTAGTTCTTTAAGTTTATTTTGATCTTAATACTTTTGTGGTTTGACTTAAGAATTTAAATGCAGGACTTTTTTTTATTTAACTTGTAACAGATTATTTTACACTGTGGTATTGTAACAAATCTGAATACTTCACCTGCAGCTGTTCATTGGTCTTATTCTGAAAAAAACAAAACAAAAAAAAGCTAGTTTCCTGCTAAGACAAGTAGTGACTTTCCCATTAGTCTAAAAGTGCTTTATGACTTATATAGCATTAGTCATTTATTTATTAACTATCAACTGAGTCATAAGTTACAATGTATAAAACTCTTCTAACGGGGGATTTAGTTGACTGCCTTTCCTCCATACTACATGTAGTGTGTTGAGGACTCACACAATGAAATAAAATATCTATGTGCCAAAAAAGTATTTTTATTAATACACATGAAAAAATGTTGTCTAGCATCAGAAGTTTAAAAAGATGAAAGCAAACATTTGTTAAGTATCTGTTTCGAGGAATATAAAAACTTTTTAAACAGTATTTAAAAAGAGAACATGACATCACATATGAACACTTAGTATAGTACTTTTGTCTTTGCAAAGGGTTTTAAAATTTAAACCAGATTTCTTATAAAGTCAGCACAGATGGTCTTCGATATATAGGCCATCAGAGGAAAGAAGTCTACATACATTCAGTAATCAAAACAATGAATACAAAACCAAAAATGTTCGGTGAGAGACAGTGGTGTTAATTAAAAAAGCACAACATTGAAAGAGTATCAACACAAAAACAAACATCAGTGTAAGTACTTTATACAGAACCATAACACAGAAAGGTTGGCACGTGAGGATCTGTATTTTTCCCAACCAAACAATCCCCAAATATCTTTTTGTCTTTACTCAAAAGAGCATAAAATGTCACTAATGCATTCCAACCCATTTACAAAACAATCTCCAAGGAGCAGTACATACATGTATGTAGTATAGCTAAATAACTGCACAAAGTGGAGGGGACTCTTTGCAGACTGATCATGTGTTTCTCAGAAGGTCTAATGCTAAAAAATGCCAAGTAGTTGCATTCTGTTCCCACTCCCAGTATTGGTCCACAAGAGGAAAAAACATGGCGAGGAATAAGAAACAAAGGAAATCAAGACAAAACCATCAGTAGTATAGGTTTGTAAAAAATGCCCCAATCATGCTGCATCCTGTTCTTATTTGTCGTAAAAAAAAAAATCTAACCTTTCTCAAATGTCTGAGTGTCAGGAATGAACTGGATCATGGTTTCTGTTTCTCTCAAAACTTTAACTTTCTTATCTAGACGTTTCAAGACAGTCATCTACAAAAGCCATACAGTGTTTTCAGTCTGAGGTAGAAAGTGGAACAACCAACACAACCATCCACTGACATCTGTTTGACCACTGCTACAAGCCAGCAATTGTCCTGAATGAAGGAACAAAGTATCCGCACTGGCTCAGTTTGTGTTTCTCCAGATTCCTCTCAATCCTGAACATCTTGCCACAAGTGGTGCAGCTGAAAGGCTTCTCCCCAGTGTGAAACCTCAGGTGTGCTTTCAGATTGTCACGCAGACGGAAGCTTTTGCCGCATTGCATGCAGGTATGTGGCTTCTGCCCCGTGTGGAACCTCAAGTGGCGGCGGAGGCTCTTCCTCAGTGCGAACGTCTTCAAGCACGTGGCGCACGAGTACGGTCTTTCTCCAGAATGAAAGCGCTCATGCCGCCGGAGGATCTTCCTCCGCTTGAACGTCTTGCCACAGATGCTGCAAGGGTATCCATCACGAGAATGGGTGACCACCTTCTGAAGCCGCCATATGCCATCTCCACAGGGGGTGAAGCAGCAGAGGCGGTGGCCAGTGTGTAGACCTTGGTGGCGGCGGAGGTCTTTGGGCAGAGGCCAGCCTGTTTTGTGGGTAGCATCATGACTTTTGGCGATAGCATTCTGAAGCTTCATCTCTGACTCAGGCATCATGAGCACATCCACCAGTTGTACTACACAGGGACGCTTCAGCTTTTGGTCTGGAGAAGTCAGTTTCAGTTTCATGTGGAGGTTGTTCTTCTCCTTCGGTGTGTGGATCCGTTCCCAAACCCCAACTTGGGCAGGGGTCACTGCTCCATCAGACAGGGATGGACTGTAGGCAGTGCCCTTGGCAGTGCTACCACAGACTTGCTGTGGCTCAGTTTGAACAGGCTTCTCTGAACTGTCAGGTTTAGGGGTTGAAGACTCGGGCTTTAGGATCAACGGGCAAACAAACTTAATCTTCTCCCCAGAAATGACGTCACGTGTATCTGGTTGGATCACAAGAGGCTTCTGTTTAGTCGGAGACACTTGCATAGATCCATGTCTTACTGTCTCCGTCCATGTCTCTGCAGAGACTGAAAAAGATTAAGATACATTTTTAAATTATACTGTACATTTCCACTATCCTTTTCTCATTCACCTTCAACATCCCTCCACCCTTTCTCCAGAAACTTCTTGTTTCTTGCTGGATTCATCTATCTGTTACAGTGACTACTTTTTGTCATTCAGACATGACAGCACATTAACATAAGGATACAATGCTTGTGCGGTATTTAGCACCTGGTGTGTGAGAGGGAGCAGAAAGGTTGTGTGAGAGAGAACAGCTGAGAGTTGATAGTTTTACAACAAGGTAGAAGAAAGTTTTTGGCTCTCTCACAGGCTGCATGGATTGGATGGGTTTTAAAACTTATTTTAAAAGGACAAATAAAATGTACAGCATTGATCTTGGAAGTTGGTACGAGATGCGCACTTCTATCTGGAGCTTCACGACATTTTAAAACCAGTGTAAAGTGAGCATAAACCAAAATAAACCGTATAGACTTAAAGTGTTTGTTTGTGAGGTGTGGCAAATGTCCGATATTCTCACTGTGCCTTGTCTCACCATCTGCTAACCTGCTATCAGTTTATACAGAACATAAAATCTATGTGGGCAAAACATTTAATGTGACTGCACATTTTATTGTAAGCTTGGGCAGAGAATTACTCTGTGGATACTTAATAATGAAATGTAATAGAATGAAATGAAATAGATGCATATTCTGTCACTTAATGCTACATTTGTTATTTTTGAGAAAGACCTGTGTAGATTTGCTTTTGATGAACATCAGGGTTTGTGGGGGCAGACACGCTTGTCCATGTTGTAGTTTCCCAGAGCTGCCACTAGGTATTAGTATAAAGACATATTTCACTGAAGGCCCTTTTGAGAGGGACAATTTCTTACATGTGTCTGTGCAATCACTTGACTTCTGGGTTTTTGTTTTAATACTTTTCTTTGTGTTATCTAACATAAGCCCCTCTATATTTCATACTTATCCTGTTCAGGGTCACTGGGGTGGAGCCTATTCCAGCATTCATTGTGTCACTTGCCAGCTAATGACAGGGAGAGGTTACCTATGCTTTTCTTCAACAGCACAATTAACATCTGAAGAAAAAGCTTTACACAAAATAGAATTCAGATGATGTCTAGAAAAATATTAACAGGATTTAATCCACAGGTTACACTGAGGTAATACAATAAAAAAACTGAATGTCTGAATGTCTCACATCCCCTTCTCATTTGTAACTTCCTCTTGTAACATGTGCTTGGTGTAATGGGAACATATTACCTACAGCTGCAGTACTATATGTTTAATCCGTACATGGAAATTCAAATCCTCTGCAGACAAAAAACCATCTCAGTCTGATTTACATCCTAACATTTGTCTCTCTCTGTCAGTGTGTTTGAGCCTTGGATTTCAGCTCACGGTCACTGTGCTTTTCCTTACCATGCAAAACAACTTCAGTTTGTGAATCACTGTCAGTCGGAGACTCTGCTTGACACCCGCTCAACTCCACCATATCTACAGTCTCTGCCACAACCTGTTTAAGAAGAAACGAGAAATTTGCATGTCTGAAGTACAATGGGTGGAATGACAAGTTCAACTTTGGGGCAAAACATGCCATTAAAAGCAAACACAACAAGATGTCTTAATGTAACAAAGCTGCTCACAGTTTCACTCAGCCTGTTCCTCCCCATTCCAGGGGTTAATTACACCCCAGTAACTTCTCACTAACCTGTTCCTTCAGAGGCGACCACTCGGGGTCAGCGTGGCCATTATCCTCAGCCAGGAGGATTTCTGATGGTATGAGACTCCCCTCCACTACCTCAAACTCCTCCTCTCTGCACTCCCTCAAACAATCACCATCTGAGAAGAAAGGGGGGCCTGTGGAGAAAAGGGGGGATGGGTTAAGTGAGAGGCACACATAGCCTACATTCCTTTACATTGGGTTTGCAATGTGGCTGCACCATGCAGGAGTTAAGTGCAACAGCAACAAATGAGCAA